CGTCTGACTAGGTCCTGATCTTGTGACGGAATTGACTAAGATCTAAGCTAGATTTCTAAACAAGCAGCGTAATGTTGTCATACGTTGTATGACCCGCCGCGCACGAGTGCGCGGCTCCCCCTGTATCGTAGAAACTCTACGATATATAGTGAAGCGACAGTGGGGGTCACCACGTGATACAAGCGTAATGGACATTCCATCATTATGTGATTATTTGTGATTATTATATTAGTTAAGTCGAAGCTTAGATGAAGATCACGATGCTGTGAGAGTTATGAGATCTCATACAAAGTTAGGATTTTTATTTTTTGCCTTATAGCGGGGTGGTATTTTTCCCAAATTTTAGATTTAAAAAAAAGAAAAAGCACGTAATAAGTGTATTACTCCGTCCACTAGAACATAGAATAAGAAGTAGAACGTTGTGTCGACACCAAAAGTAGTTGGGGTACAAAATGCTCCCAGGGACGGCAAAACGCTGCATCCCAATTCCCAATATTTTGGGATATTTACAATTAGGTATTACAATGTCAATTAAGCAATTACAACACCGCAATTTGCATGTAGATAGCAGAGACACGCAGATCAGTAACAGTATCACAGCAGTTTGTATATCCCGTGTCAATTCAAGATATGCACCGTATTTTTTATTCATTCGTCAATGTTGAAAGCTGATTCCATGAAATAGTACGACATCAGACCGCAAATAAACGGTGCAGGGTGCTCCCCAATTATAGACGGTAATTCCCGAGATTTCACTGGCCCGCTTGGCTCCACTTCAATGAAATTCGTGATTAATTTGACATTCCATCATTATCCGCATTCCGTAATTGATCATGATGCTGTAAGATGTAAGAGTTATAAGATCTCATACAAAGAAAAAAATTTTGGCGGCCCTCTCCTAAAATTAATGGCACATATAAATGTTTGCATTGTATTAACACTTTTAGTTGTCACTGACACTAGATACAATATACATGTAGTTAAATTTAAATTATTTCATGTTCAATTCCATTAGAAATAGTTTTCAACTAAAACCCAAAATTGGGTAATAATATAAAGTGCATGGAACGTAACAAAAGTTTCCTTTCTGAAAATAAAATGAAATGATATCATTTAATTACCGTTTTTGTACTAAACGCGAAATGTTGCCGAGAATGAAATCGGCCGTGAATGAATCAGAATAAGAAACTGAAAAGCGAACGACCAATATAAACTGAAGTGTTATTATCTGGCATCCTGAGGATATAAATAGCCGCAGAGATATATGTTTATCTTAGAAATAAATATGTCCGCAGGCTAGGTTATCGTCAAGGGAAGCATGACATTACCGTAGATGTTTTCTTAACGTCTAGGAAAGATTCGTAAATTCCTCTACTGGGTTAACTTCCGGTTACCTAGGATTAAGATTTGTATGAAATCTCAAATCTTGACCCCCATACCATTGTCGTGATCCTCATACCATCATGTCGTGACCCCCATTATATCATTGTCGTGACCCCCAAACCATTGTCGTGACCCTCATACCATTGTCGTGACCCTCATACCATTGTCGTGACCCCCATACCATTGTCGAGACCCCCATACCATCATGTCGTGACCCCCATACCATTGTCGGTACACTTAGTGTCGGGGTGCAAATGTGAGGTAAAGTAAGATCATTTCCAGAAATCCTCCATAAATTCCAGAAATCCTCCATAAATTCCAGAAGTCCTTTATAAATTGCAAAATGTTTAAGGGCTGTTCCACACGAATTATACAGTCTTAAAATATTTCTTGTTTCATTAAATCAATCAGTCTGCTAAGCTAATTTATCATTCGATCCCACCGCCAGCTCTTATTATATTTAATAATTAATAATTATGTATAACATTTTGAACTTTTATCCGATTGCATTGCTGCTGCCTTATTCCTTTATTCATTCTCCAGTTAAGCAAAGAATTTACATTAGGGCAACTGTACAGCAGGGTGTTTTATGGGATGATGATTAATCACTCTACACTCTACTGTCACGTGACTTTTTTAAACCCGTTCTCTAACTGGTCCTGAATGACTATAACCTTATCGGACCTTATTTGAACGGACATTAAATGAACAGACATGATTATGAACAGACATTAAATGAACGGACATAATTATGAACGGACATTAATATGAACGCTAGAAGGCATTCAAAACCATCAAAAATCCGAATTTTTTGACGTTTTTTAAAATTTCAGCAAATGATTTTTAAAACCATTTTTTATACAGTAAGTTAAAATATGTGTATATGATCAGTGTCTAATATCAAAATCACATATCATCTTCATCAAATGGGTTTTCGTGCATGAAATAGTCCATGCTTAAAGCATCAGTGATTTCTAGCTTTATGGAAACTTTTATTTATCAAACGACCCTGGTCCTGCATTCCAGTGTCAACTTAATTACAAGCCATTCGGCGTGAAGTGGTTTTATCTTAAACAACTTTAGGTTAACCTTAACATCACTTGGAGCTTTCCTAGCACTGTTTCATTACCTCCCCTGATTAATATGAACTATAACAACGTCGGATAATGTCCTTGGAAACACGATTTACCGTAATATCTAGAGGCTGGAACAAGTTTGTCATGTTGGCGGGGACTACTAGCTCATGAACTATGTTGTTGAGTGCCACAATTTCGTTAACTTTTTCCGCCAAGTGACCCTTGAAGTTGAAAACATCATATACAAATAAAGTTTTCTGTGCCTCCCGTGCAGATCAAAGAGAACCTTTCCGTCGTTATAACTTAAGGCACAATATAGTTCTCATAGTTGTCATATTCTGGACAAAAAGTTCAAAGTGGAAAAAAAAAAAAAAATTCAACGGACTTTAATGCGGACTTTATTTGAACGGACATTAACATGAACGTTAGGGCCTCCAGCGTTCAATTAATTTCCGTCCTAATAAGGTCCGATAAGGTATTACCTTTCTCTCTGTGAGTGTGACCACGGGCTTTCTAATTCTAGTATAGTGGTAGTAGTAGTATTATATAATACGAGACAAGATTTTCGTGATCGTGATCGTGACCTCCACGAAAGTTATATCGTAGGTTATAATTATATCGTATACTCTAAGATCGATCGTAACTTTACGATCACTCTGAGATCATGTAATTTGATTTAATTAGCCTCCGGAATTTTGTCCACGAAACTCAATTCAAGGTTGATCGTAGAGCAAATTGTTTTATCACGTGACGCAGTAGTCAGTACATTGACCAATATAGGAGATTCGCAACAAAAGTTAATTCACGCAGTCGGAACGCGCAGCTCTTCCTGCTAAACTGTCCAAAGCTAAGGTGTAATGATTTCCACCAATTGCTGAGAGGGGGCGCCGATCTGGCGCCATGCACCAGTATTTCGCTGCTCCTTTTCAATGTTGCGAAATGCGAAGCTCGGTCCTAGCAGAGCATGACGTGTCAATCCGTTTCTTCCTAACATCCCACCATTTTCTGTCTCCTTTACCGTTGATTGCGTTCACCGACTTCATTATTGCTAACCACACTTTCTCCTTCGCCTCGCTGGTTACAGTATATAGTACTAGTAGGGGTAATAGCTGTGTTCTTCCCCGCCTCCTGCATAATATAACTTGCACCTCCTCCGAGGTGAAGTTCCGCTTTCGTTACTTCTTGACAACTGCAGTTACGGGCTCCGCCTTCTGTTTCTTTCTTTTCCTTTTCCCTTATAGTGAGGCATTGATCATGGTTATCGGCGGGGTTATTCCAATATTCGAAGTAGCGAGGTCGCCATCTGATGTAATTCTAGCGAGGTCAGTGTTTAAAGTTGTTACTGTTAGGTCAGTGTCCAAATAAGGTCTTGTCGAATCCGATGAGATCTGTTCAACATTGGATGAGGACGGCTGGTCTATATAGGATCAGAAGGTGGATTTATAGCGGTAATATCAGATACGGTCTGCATGATGAAGGTTGATAAGTATAACAGAAAATAAATTTTATTATTGGCCGCGTCACGGGATTAGTGGTCGCGAAGGGATTATTGGCCGTGAAGGGATTATTGGCCGTGAGGGGAATATTCTTTCCGGTGAAGGGAATTATTATCATGAGGTTGTTTATATTTTTATCATAGCCAGTGTCCGGTATGATCTGAATGATAATAATTTTAATTTCGTTTAATAGGTATAGGAAGACGATTCAGTAATAGCGTAATATCGACCTCCAAGTTGATCGTAAGTCCCTAAAAGTTGACAAATAGGTGTCGTGAGTTATATCGTAAGCAGTAATTTCTACGATCAACCAAAAGTTCAACTTACGATCAAATTTTGAATCTACGATCGCGTGATTCACCTCACGCAACCATCACGCTCCTTATTTGGGTTAATAAGGTAGTAGTATGATCTCATATGTAGATCGTAAAGTTATATCGTAAGTAGCTAATCTTAAAGCTCAATCGTAAGGCTTAATTCGATTAACGTTTCGTGGACAGATTGATAGTTACTTTGATAGTAGATGTCTCACGATCGTAAATATTACAGCCTAAGTTTGATCATAACTGTTTCGTGGAGGACACCCAGGAAATGTTGTGAAGTTTCTGCTTCCCTTGGGCAGTGTTCGCAGTCTTGCGTCTCAAAGTTGACGTTGTTAGCCACAGTCTGAAAGTAAGCTAGTGGGCTGTGCCCTGATAGTAGCCATGTTGGTGAACGGACCGAATCACTACATGACTGAATCCCTACCGGACTGAATCACTACCAATCACTATTGGTAGGGATTGAGGTATATTTCAGGACTGAATCACTACCGGACTGAATCACTACCGCTAATATCTAGACCTAACCACTTTGATGTGATCCCTACTGAACTTTGCAATAAAGGCATAATTATTCGTATTTCATTAGTTAATTATTTTATTTTTTGCTAATTATTATTACATTTTTCGTGATAATTGACTAAGCAGAAATTTGGTCAAAGAATAATAGATAATATACTGATACAGTAATTTAAATCACACAATAATAAGTAAACATTAAAGCATTAACCCAAAATCTTAGATCCAACAGCTTTCAGAAACTCGGTAACATCCCCAAAGTTATCATAATCATCAACCATACGTTGCATTTCCAGGTCAAACTTCTCCCACTTTGCTGCTCTCTTGAAGGGTTTTCTGGTGAGGATGTTGGTGATCTTCACGTCTGTCAAAGCCTGCTCCCTCTTGATGCACTCTAAGAACTTCCAGATAGAAGGGTTGTGACAGTTGACCAAGGAGGCGAAGCCGCTGTTCCAACCCTCTGCGATGTTGCTGGAGCGAGGTAGTAACATCTGGGCCGCTTCGTGGTGATTCCAGGAGTCGTGCCTGAAGAGAGGAGGGGTGGAGGTGGTTCCGATCCATGTCGACTCAAAGTATCTTGCGAAGGCAGTCATCTCAGCAGGAAGAGAAGGTTTGAGAAGCCGCCACGCCTGGTCCACATCACTGACTGGAACGAAGGGGAGAGCTCCAATCTGCATGAAGGACTTTCTGATAGGAGAGTTGTCGCTAGAGTAGTCAGCAGCAAGTCCCTCGCTCTGCAGGTGTCTCCACAAGGACTGTCTCAAGGTAGTACCAGGCCAGACGTTGGAGACTGCGTTTCTGATAGCGATTTCATAGTCCACCAGCACCGACTGAGGGTAGAAGGGTCCGTAGGAGTCCAGTTCGTTGAGGATGTTCTCGTACATGATGGTGCGCTTCCCGGGTAGGAGTCCAAAGACTGCAGGGATTCTCCATCCAGTAGGGTGTAAGGCATGGACTGTGAAGAGTTGAGTAAACAGGTCTGGAGAGGTCTTAAAGGTTCCATCCACGACGAGGTGATCTGACTGATAGATGATGTTGATGTTGTCTGCAGTACCAAGGAGGATAGATCTTCTGGTGTCGGTGTCGTAGGAGGAGTCCCAGAGCAACATAGTGTCACCACCGGGAGAGGTCAGGTAGTTAGGAGGAATCACCAGGTCTTCTAAGGAGATGGGGTTGACAGGATGGGAGTAGGCTTTCTGTCTGGCTCGTCTGACTAGTCGTGCCAATGACTTGGGATCACAGTTGAGCCGGGACGAGGCTTCGAAGGATAGTCCAGCGACAGAGTCTGCAACAATCTGCTTAGTTGAGTTCTCAGTAGTAGCTGCGAGGGTCTTCATTTTAGACTTGGAGCGGTGGGCTGCAATTTCTGCTGGTTGAGATTCGTGATCATGAGGGGCAGCAGAACAGAAGGTGTCCTGGACAAGGATCAGGCGGGACTTGCACTTGTTGCACTTCCAGTAGGTCTTGTCTTCCCTCTTTCTGTTAAGGTGGTAGAGGTGACCATCGTAGAGGACGTTGCGGCTGCCTTTCTTTCTGCCAGGAATAAACTCGATGGATGAGGAAGACATAGTGGTATAAGATAAACACAGGCGTTGCGGGTTTATATAGCCGTTGCAATCTATAATAATAAATCAATTTTATATTGGAGAAACTCAGGGGTCGACCGAGGGCAGGATTTTCGACCGAGGCCGAGGCCGAGGAAAATACAGTTAGTTAAGACCAAGGCCGAGGACAACCGAGGTTTCTTTTTTTGACCGAGGCCGAGGAGTGCAAATTTTGACCGAGGCCGAGGCCGAGGCCGAGGAATTTTTGCAGAAAAATTGTTGGGAAAAAGGGCATTGTTTATTAGGAAAAGCGCACTGTACCTAATCAGATTGTACTGTGTACTGTGTACTGTGTACACACGTTACAATCATTATGAAGGGGCAAGTTCGCCAAGAGTCAGGAGTGGGCATGCCCAGGCAGGATCTGAGTAATTGACAGTGAAACCTTGCTGAGTGTTCAAGGAAATATCTATCTGCGCCGGCGAGCTCAGCAGCACCAGAGAGATTGTTTTCTACAGCAGGGCACATCCTGAAGTTAAATCGCCTCAGCCTTAAGCCAACAAACTTTGAGGGGTGCTTGTTTCTCAAAAAGAACATCGGAACATTTGGGGACGACTTCGGCCCCTGTCCAAATGAATTTGAAGCCCCAAATAAAGAGGACTGTCCCCCTTCTGAGCTGTGCACAGAAGATTATTCTGATTCAGAGTGCTCAGATATTGTCATTTCATCAGACGATGAATCTTAGACTATGATATTTTTAGTTTTGTGTCCTGGTCAATTGGTCGTTTTATTTTCAATTTTACAAATTCGTTTACATTAACCTCTGTAAGTCTGTAGAAAAATTCCCAAAATTTCAACAAAAATCCTCGGTCAAATCCTCGGTAAAATCGTCAAATTTCGCCGAGGCCGAGGAATTTCGAATCTATTTTTGACCGAGGCCGAGGCGAACCGAGGAATTGTCCTCCTGACCGAGGCCGAGGCCGAGGCTGAGGCCGAGGAAAAATCGCCATTCCTCGGTAAAACCGAGGCCGAGGCCGAGGACTCGGTCGACCCTTGGAGAAACTCTTTAGTCTCGTCTAATATTATATAATGCGAATAAAATGGGGGTGACAGGCTCTGTTAACTTGGTGAAAAAAATCGCCATCAGGTCTAAATTCTTTTCTGTCTAAAGGGCTCAAGGTATAGGTAATAAGATTTCAGTTTGGAGAGTGATACAATTTCACTGATGCAGCTAGGTTTCGAAATGTACCGGGAACTTGTAATTCATAGACTGTGTATTTTATCAATTACCATACTAGGAACCGACCGGATATCCGGCTGAATATTTTTTTTGAAACGGAGAAAAGTGGTTTCCAGAAAACATTTTCGGTCCGAGTCATTCTCGATACGTAAATCCTGCTTCTGAGTGCAAAATTGTGGAGAAAAGTGGTTTCCAGAAAAACATTTTAAAAAAGAATTCAGAAAACCGAAAAGCCAACCTCCCCCTTCACCTACCTCTAGCAGTAGCAAACCTCTAATATTGCTCTATATCGCGTTTAATATTACGCCACATGTTATAGTGCCGCAAGTGCCGCATGTTACATAAGATAGTCATAGTGCTGCAATTGTGCCACATGTGAGTGCCGCATGTTACATATGAAAGTGCCGCAAGTGCCACAAGTGCCACACGTTAGTGCCGCAATTGTGCCGCATGATAGTGCCACAGTGCCGCATTTACGTAATAAGGTCGGCTCTCTATTATCTAATCAGCCCAGATTTGTTTGTCCCTTATATTATAGTTGTACTGAATATTTCTTAATAATTGACCCTGAAATAGGTACTCCTTAATACTTTAATACTTTAATAACATATATTTTGTCAGGGTAAATAGTTTCCGGTCGGAACGAAACCGGCTATATTGCTCTGGTGCTATATTTTCAATCTGATACAGATAACGAAATTAATGAAGGTAAATTGTCGATGATCCAGGATACCTTAAAACTATAAAAGTTAGCGGTCCCTGTTCCAGAAAGAAAATTATATCAATACTGCTCATAGTCATGAGTGGGCCCACACGTGTCGGTCTCTTGGTCTGATATTTGGGCTTAGCTGTGAGTGTTTCTCTTTCTGGGGAAGAACTTGCAATTATAATGCAACTTTCTGTTGCAATGTTCGAGAATTGTGATTGATTATTTCAACTCTTTTTGTATTGAATAAGTAAACAGATATTCGAATAAACAGACTAAGTACATATTGTATAATAATCATTATACTCATTGTCATTTTGTTGTAGGTTAGTTTTTGTCAAACTTTTAGTTTAATTTTATCTGATTCGATAATTAAGAGCTTGCGTCATTTAGACATTGTCACACCTTTTTTCAAAATGCCTTACTGGGCGGCGCTCAGCCTGTCATTCCGCCGAATCTTTATTGTTTATGAACATAATAGCCTGGGGTCCCCAGGTAAAAAATGCAGAGAAATTGCAGTCTCCAACTTTTGTCAAACTACAATAAAACTGAATTATGAATTAATATGTGGTTTCTTTCGAACATACGTGTAACGTGACATTTTTAAATTGTATATTCGGCTTAGCCACTATATATGTACGTTTCACCACTGGCAACTTATAGTGAATTTTAGGAAATTTAACATGGAATAACTATAAGGAATGTTATGCTAAACAGTAAATATGCTGTCTATGTAAACAGTTTTCCGTCAAATATCCAATCGATTTCTCGGGAAAATTAACAATCAAATGTCGTAACGTGATTTATTTAATTTCATTTTAAATTTTTGGCACTGAGTTAACTGTTTTAATAGAAATTTCTTTGAAAGAATCATCAGCAGTTGGAATCCGAATTGTAGTACGTTTTTTATCAAGTAGATCAGAGCAGTTGGAATTTGTGTTTCCTGGACAATTAGATTACCAGTTTGTAGGACTAGGACTATCTTATCGGACCTTATTTGACCGGAAATTAAATGTACGGACATAATTATGTCTTTCTGATTGTTCCACAAACTTTATGATGTGGTTGATTTTGCTGTTGATAATTTCCTCCATTGTGAGTAGAGGTGTACCAAATATCCTCATTCTGATAGTCATCAGCTGTACACATTCACATTGACATAGGAAATGTTGTGAAGTTTCTGCTTCCCTGGGCAGTGTTCGCAGTCTTGCGTCTCAAAGTTGACGTTGTTAGCCACAGTCTGAAAGTAAGCTAGTGGGCTGTGCCCTGATAGTAGCCATGTTACCCATCTGAGGTGAGTTCCTGAGATATTAATATTCCTGTATTTGTATTTGTTGAGGAACAATCCAAGAGGGATTTTCCCTTTATCACTGAGGGCGACCTGTTGGTATTTGTTGAGGTGTAATTTGAAGAGGTACTCCTCACAATCAAGAGCCACTTTGGTCTACTTACTGCGAGGTGTCTCAGCTACGCCTACATGCAGGTTGGGGGTCCCCTCTTTTTTTTCTTGCTTTGCTGTTTGGTCTGTACTGATCACCATTATTTAGGACTCGACATAATTTAGTGTTTTACAGTGTGGGAGCTTGGGAGTAACTCTTAGAGGGAATATTTTCGATCAGATTTGCAAGGGTTTTGCTTGACCGTCCTTTTTCCATTTCCTGCTCTCATTAGCGATTCATCAAGAGCGCTTTTTCTATGGGATTTATTTTCGTTGACTTACATATTGCGTAGTCTGAACTCTGATATCATTGTGGTAATTTAATTTCAGGAAGCTGCAAGATTTTGCAATTTTTTATTTCCGGGTGCAGATAATTATATAGACTTAAAATAGAATTAAAGTCTATGTACCAAGCGCTTATAAGGGCCGTTGCAATCTATAAATCGATTTTATATTGGAGAAACTCTTTATAGTCTCGTCTAATATTATATAATGAGAATGAAATGGGGGTGACAGGCTCTGTTAACTTGGTGAGAAAAATCGCCACCAGGTCTAAATTCTTCTCTTTCTAAGACTAAAGGGCTGAAGGTATAGGTAATAAGATTTCAGTGACGTTTCTCCGTTTATTATTCGCATTTGTTTATGTTATACGTATAGTAATAGAGTTATAGTATTAGTAGTTGCCACGACATATTTGCCCCGGCTAGTTCTCTATGAATCAGGAATCTCATGTCTACAGTATCGAATTATAATCAGTGTGCAGTTAATATATATTATCTTTTATAACAAGCATCCAATTATTAACCACTCGTATCTTAAACTATACTATTATCTATCGTTTGGAGAGTGATACAATTTCACTGATGCAGCTAGATTTCGAAACCGGGAACTTGTAATTCATAGACTGTGTATTTTATCAATTACCATACTTATAGGAACCGACCGGATATCCGGCTGAATATTTTTTTAAAAGGTGAACGCTAGGGCCTCCAGCGTTCAAGTATAATGTGATAAGGTAGTAATAGAGGTATATACGACATTTGATTGTTAATTGTCCCGAGAAATCGACTGGATATTTGACCAAAACCCATACTCATGGGTAGAGTGGACCGCTGCCAGTGTCTTTCTTTCCCAAATAAAATTTGAATAACCGTCCGCAAATGCAAAATGTTACGCTCCTTTTTCCATTCATTTACAACTGTAATAGATTATGAAGAGAATCCCAATTTGATAATTTTCGTACGTATCGATTTTGACTGCTCCTCGAGCTGGCTTTCTATAATTAGTCCCTCTTTACGGAGAGAGCGCGATTTGGGCATTATGTTTGCACTATGTTATGAGACCTAGACATCGTTACTGGAGAGCGATTTTGGCTATCGCTAGCACCATAGTGCTGCAGGATAAGTTACCAAATTATCCTGAAGTAGCATTTTATATTGATTGATATGAACTGACACATAAGTGTAATGACTGGGTTAAACGAAATATGATGTTGTACTATTAGGATGAGGCCGCAAGGTTGAATTATAAAGTTTTGAGCGATAGAGTTGTTTTATAATAGCGCTGGGATATTCAGATATTTAATTGTGTTACCAAATCTTCAGCGGGACCTTTGTTGTCTGTATCGTGAAAGTTCCATC